GAAGTTGGGGAATAGAGAGATTGAGGCAATTTACCAAGCACTCACAGCTAGTAGAAGGCTGACCCTGAAGCTCGGCCCAAGGTCTATATGATTCTCGAGCCACTATCCTAAGCACGCAGATCTATATGGCTATAATCTACCTCATTCGTGACATTATCTATAAAGTTCAGGAGAAAGGAAAATACGGAGAATTCAGGGCCAAGGGAGGGCGATTATAGTTTTCTCACATTTTTTGTTTGTTTGTTTAATAACTTGAGAATCTCGCTGAAGGGAAAGAGTCTATGAAGTAGAAAAGACCAAATGTACAGGGAAAGATAAACAGTTCATGCAACATGGTTCTAAAGAAACTGAAGAGATTGGGAAACCACTGTTTACTCCAGGATGAGGACATTCAATGTGATGTTTCTTGAGGAAATAAGATAGCTATCCTTTGATTTATTTTTAAAACACTCCTATCTGCTTATTTTATAGAATAGTTTTGCTGGGTTTTTTTTCTGTTGGGTTTTTTTTTTAACTTCTAATTCTTTTATTCTTCTAACAGATGCTCTTAAAATACCCTTAAGGATTTCAGTGGGTGAGATTCAATCAGGCAACTATGGTTCCAATGACTTTGAATGCGAAAACACAATATGTGCTTTACATATCCGCAAACAGACATCATGGGGTGATTTTTCAAAAGCAGTGAGTCAAGCTCTGACAAATCATTTCCAAGCAATCTCTTCCGATGGATGGTGGAGTCTGGAAGACACGGCATTTAATAACACCGCTGACTCCGACATCGGCCTCAGCGCGAGCAGTGTGCGAGCCATCATGCTAGGTATCTGCGGCCCTGCAGTGGAGAGAAAGCTGAACTTCGGGGTTTAGTTGTGTTTGTGGGCTTCATAACCCGACACTTAGTTCACTGATTAAGCATATTCAAAGCTCACTTGTGGCAGCTGCCGGTGCTGAAAAGGTGCTGAAAAACTTGAACATTCACAATGTAGCCATTATATAATGTTGCCTGTTAATATAAAAATGCTTTTATGCCTCAAATAATACTCAGAGAGTAAAGAACATGAAAATCCTTGATGAAGCTTTGCGATTGCGCTTGCTATTCTCGATAAATGAAAGAAACCAAGCACTGTGTAGCTGCTTGCTAATGCACTAGTTCTGAACACAGCTCAAAATGTGCTTTTGGGCCAGGCCAGGGGTGCTGTAGTGTGTCAATACCTTAACTCCAGGACAGGTATTCTAATGAAGTCTTGAGTTGGAAGAAGCACTTTAGTGAAAATATATTCAAAGATCCCACATGGGGTGAGTCGGTTATTTCTATTTGACATACACCACAAAACAGATTCCAAAGAACTTACAAAGATAAGATTTGCTTTCTGGTGGGCATAGTAAGTACTCCATGAATGTTAGTTGTGCCTGGTTAGTTTCTTTGCTTTTGAACCAGGAGGACTAACATCTATAGGAAACCTGTTCCTTTGCAAGGACTGTGCTGGTTGCTGTATAAGCGGTCCTTCCAACAGCCTCATTTTATAGATAACTAGGTCCAGAATGACTTGCCTGAGGTCACACAACTAGATATCTCTCTTAATCCCCCTTCAGGACTGCTTTGGAGCGATCTATAGATCGAAGGCCTGCCTTTTGACCTTCAACAATAATTTCGTTAGGGAGCTAACCCCTTGTATGACCCTGTAGGTGTCTATATGTGCCTTTGCCAGTTTAAGCTCTGGATTCCTTAAGCTTCTCGCAGAGGAGAGCATATGTTTACCCTTATGAGAAAAATTATTGTTAAGCTGCCCTTGACATTTTATTTCATTTTTTTGGAACTAGGAAGTGTGCCATGGTCGGCTGGTCAGAGCTTCACCCAGTCCCCGTGGGACTTTATGAAGAAGAACAAGGCAGAGCAGGTCACCGTGCTTCTGTCAGGTAACGACGCTCCAGACTGAGGTGATATTTAAAGAGTGTTTGCTTTATGACTGGCTCTCGGTGTCCTCTAGCCATGCACATGTGACTCCCATTGTTCAGTAATCAGATGTCTTTTAAAACATTTGATTAAGGGGAGGAAAAACCAAAAGCCATGTTCCTGACACCTATCGTGATGTCCGGATTATTGATTGCTGCCATTTTGATTATATTCCTCATTAGGAACAAATCAGAGGCCAAACTGACATGCAGACAAGAGAGTGAGAGACACTGTGTTAACAGAGAAGTGTCTTGCCACTGTCAAGTACAGTGTGTGGTTAATATGACTGTTATGCTGGTATAGCCTAACGTCTAGTGAGCACCTACCATGCACTAAACCCTGTTGTTTACAGCATAAATATCAAATAATTTAATCGTCATAACAACTCAATGGGATAGGTCTCTCTGTTTATCCCTATTTTATATACAATGAAACTGAGGCTCAGAGAGAGTGATTTTCTTGCCTCAGGTCATGCTGCCAATAAGTGGTATAGGAATCCTGAATCTCTCAGCCCTTGAATCTAAAAGGCTACTGATTTCATCTTGTATTTCCTATACTTTGGAAGGGAGTCTTTCTTAAAAAATTCAATCTCAACTAATACAGTTTTATTTCACTGAAGTGTAAAAGAAAAAGTGAGAAGCCACCCCAGAAAATTCTTTTAGGCTCAAACAGAATATTGAGAGAATTACAAAATTGGGAGTGGGAGGGGGAGGGTTGCAAATGGACTAAAAGAAAACCCCAGACCTACACCTTAGTGTTGGCCAAAGCTAAAGCTTTCTGAGGGTTGTGATTATTGATAACTTTTACTTATATACAGTAAAACACTGAACCCGGCAATCAGCCCATTCCAGCCACAGTGTTGGAGCTGGCATCTGGAGACCCTGGCTGGGATTGCCAGGAGGTGGGTGGGCTGCCCAGGGGGCAGGAAGGAGCAGCTGGGGAGCTCTTGGAAGGCTGGTGGCTGCTTGCCAGCCAGTACAAAGTGTAACAGTATTTTCACAACGCCAAAGGCACACTGATGCTTCTTGACCAGATGTCAGCTCTGCCTGCACAAGTCAACAAACATATATCTTCTATGATAGATTCTGTTGTGTTTTGATCATTTTTATATTTGCTAAAGGAGAGCCAATTTTTCTGTGTTGTTCATTTTTTTTCAGGTCCTCAAGAAGGCTGCCTCAGTAGTGTGACATACGCTTCCATGATCCCCCTTCAGATGCTGCAGAACTACCTCAGGCTGGTAGGTTGACGCTGCCGGCGGGAGGCTCACACTTCCCATCCTGCCACAGGAAAACCCGGTGGCCCGTGTGTGTGTCTAGAAGAGGAGTGTGAGCTCCTGTCCACCCTGTGCCATTACCTTCCCCATCAGCCCTTCTCCTGGCTGGCTGCCCGTCAGCCTGCATTTCTGCCACTGTCATCCCCGTATCCATTGCCTGGACCCAGAGCCCACCTGTGACTTGGGAAGCATTATAATTTGGCAGGAGAAGGTCGTCTTCTCTTAGCAAGGACTTGGCATCAAATAAACACTCATCAATATGGAAGGGGATGGCCATAAATATCAAGATATCCCTAC